CTTTATGGGGGTGGGTATTGCCACCCCTCAGTCCCTCTTTGTGGCGCCCCTGGACCGCATGGAAAGAAAAGAAAAACTGTAAACTCACGTGTTTTTTCCCCTAAAGTGTTTGCCACTTAAAAGCAACAATTAAAAGCTATCCAGTACAGTACAGCCTTGAAAGGCAAAGGGGTAAAAAATAAAATAAAATAAAATAAAATAAAAAAGTGTCAGTTTCGTTTTTATTCCCGACACCAGTGAGCGCGCACCTCATGGATAAGGTGAGCAGGCTGGATGATAAGTGAAGGTGCAGCCTTCCTCCTCCTCCTCCTCTTCCTCCTCTGCAGCCGCAGCAGCATCAACAGCAGGACTTCCAGCTGGAGCTTCACGATGGTCGCAGCGCACACTTCGTCTCATCCGTCAGAATCTGCCGACTGGATAATCTGTCTGGACAAGAGGTAATGCAGAGATAAGGTTTCACCGTGCAGACAGCTCGTTTTAATCAGACACGATTCAGTTATTCACCGTGGGGTGTCGTGTTGAAACAGCTGCATTAAAACAAACGCGATGTATGAGTTTTAATTTAAAGCTCTAAATAGTTCATCCTTGAGAGCTCCAAGGGTATTGTTTCTATCAGGACACCTGCTCCTGTTTAACATGATCCAAGGCTTAAACATGAGAGAGCAGCTGCTGTTTCTGGGTTCAGACAACAAATTATTTCTGACTTATTCAGCTATAAGTCATAAAAATAACTTCACCACTGTAATCCTGGGCTGTTTGGGATTTCTTTTTCAGTGAATAGCTGATTAAAGGTAATTACAATAAGAAAACAACTTTACAAATAACAAAGATGTGGCCAATAGGACCCTATTTTTTCCTTTCTATTGTTTATTATTATTATTTTTTGTTAATATCACAGGAAGAAATTTATTTTATTCATATTCACATGAACAATCACATATGGAAGCCCCTGCAGCCTTTTAATCTTAGCAAAAAAAGTAAGGACATTTATGTTTGGTGGATTATTTTTTGTTGTAAAAATGCTTCTTGGCAATAAATCTTATGCTGGGCACCTGATTGGCAACACCTGGGGGTACCAGAAGCTCCAAACAAGTGTCAACAACAACAGCAAAATAAGCTGTTTTGCACTGGCAGAGATTTGGCAATTTTTTCACGTGCACAACCCACATACTCAGTTTCTCATTCCTCAAATGCATGTTCCTTACAAATGTGGCGCCATTTAAAAGGGAAATTAACAGGTTTTCCAATCATATACGATTAATTAAGAAAGCGTTGTTACAACAAAGATATCATCTACCAAACACAAATATCCTTAATTTGAAGTTGAGTTAAATGACCAATAAAAAGAAGAGATGATTCAAGAGGAAAACCTTCAATCAGTCAGAAAAACTGGAGCTTTTGATGCAGTTGTCAAAACAAGAATTAGCAACAAAGAAAAGTTAATTTGCCTTCCTCTGATGTAAGGAAAAGGAGATTCAGGTTTAGCTATTACTGATTGAAAATAATAAATATTAATATTTTCTGCATGATGACTTGTCTTTAAATTACAAAGATTATGGTTTTAAATTAAGGTATAAAGGACAAAAATTGTCTTATCAGATGTCTCTGCTTGGCCAATATTATACAAGTCAGAAATGATGCTAACAGCACATACAGTCAAAATGCCTATATATGTATATATA